GCAATGCATTTCTGAGTTTAGAAATAAATCGACAACCATGAAGACCAAGCAAAGCTCAAAATAGAAGATTAAATGCTTCTCAACGCTAAAGCATATTACTTATAGCTAAGACGATCTGGCCACTAGCAACCAAGATTTCTCCCAGCATTATGGTTTAATGGAAAGACAATCAAAACCAGAGTCACATGAACCCGGTTCAATTTTGAACTCTATAAAAATCTATACAGGATGTTGTCCATAGGCCAGCAACATCAGCATGACCTGGAGCTTGTTGGGAATGCAGAATCTCAAGTCCCCTTCCTCAGACCTACTGAAACTCATCCAGGTGATTCCTGTTCAGGTTAAAATTTGGGAAGCTCTGATGTAGCCCACTAAACCCAACTGAGCCTCAATTTCCTGCTCCGCAATATGGAGATAATAAGATCGATTCCAGAGTGTTGTATAAAGAGTTACTAAGATCATTTGTGATGTACTTGGCATGAAGCTGGACCACTGCGTGTGGGCTCAAAATTAATCGTTGCCTTGTTTTTTCTCAGCATCAGTTGCTTCTGAATAATATTACTTTACAATCTGTTCTCCTCAATATCTTCTTGCTGGCCTCTATACATCAAAAAGGCTTTCACCTCTCAGATCTTCCTTCTGTCTCTTCAAATCCCAGAACTACATTAAAAATTTACGAAATCCATGAGATTGGTGGGACCTATGAGATCTGCTTTAACCTCCCCTTTGAAGCCAGAAATGCCATTTTTAGGTCCCAAACTTACTCATTTTTTATACTCTCCCTCACATGTCACCTTTTAGGCACCAGAGAGGTACTGGGTACTCAATAGATATTTGCTGGTGGCTGAATGAGTTAATGAATGAGGCTTTGAACACTGGTCCATTCTACTCTTTGTCTAAATCTCACTACATTTGTTTTCTTTGTGATTTTTTTCAGTCCTTTCATTCTTCCATTAAAAAAAAAAACAAAACTAGTATATCTCATGTTCTTCCCTGACTACTCTCTCACCTATCCGAGATACCTCAGAATATACATATACATGTACATATTAATTCACATATGTGAATTATCATAAATATGTTCGTATTTTGAGATGAGATATTTTAAGTTTACACATTGCCAACCAAGTGGACTGTAAGTTCCTTGAAGGATAGAAGAAAAAGATGGTGACATCACCTTCTTGGAACATCAGTGCCTAGGGAGGTATGTTTCTCAGTAAATGTCAGATATTCGTGGTCAATGCCAAATACTGTTGTCGCTAAACTAATGAGAGCAAAGGACACAACAATTATACAGGAGAAGGAACGTAAGGTCTTATTGGGACCTTGTGTATCTCTTAAGGCAGATCAATAGCCCTTTCCGTGGGGAAAGGCCTGGCGGGCTTCACGTAAGAGGTTCCCTCAATAACCAAACATTCCACTCAAAGGTTATATTTACACAGCTCATTAGGAAAAATTTTTTATACTTTTGACACTCATTAGACTCGTAATCGTCCACCGAAGCTACTCTATAACAAGAGATAAACACTCCATTCTAGAGGATGAATAATAATTAGGTACCGCTCAGCGCTGTGCTCTTTACAGGTCTAATTTTAGAGTATAATTAATCCTGCCGAAGCTGCATAAGATAAGTGAAATATTTATGCAGCTGTGTTAATTCATGTATTTACTCCTAGAGAGACATTCAGAATTGGTCATGGCTTTCTGGGAAGATTATGTTAAGACGCCCCCTGGAGCAATATCATTTTCTCTCTGATGTCTTTGCATCCAGATGGTCTCTAAAGATGAAGCTGAGAAGACACATTTCCAACCCCAACAGTCTGACCAAGAGAGCAATGAGCCGGGACAGAAAATATCTGCAAGAATCTAGATGCTCTGCTAGTACAAGGAACACACCTCTGGCCTATCCGGATGCCTTTACTTTTTATTTGCCACAATGAAGAAATTTTCTGTTCGGCATCAGAAATGTTGTTTCCATGATATTGACTTGACCATATTATTGCCAACACAATACTAAAGAAGGCATGTTGAACATGGAGATGTGGATGGACAGTCACAATGAAGAAGAGGAGGAGAAAGATTGCGATGACAGTGATGGTGGTGATGATGATGATGATGATGATGATGATGGCGGCAGTGGTGGTGGTGTTGGTGATAATAATGGTGATGACAATGCTAATGGTGATGTTGATGGTGATGATGATAATGGTAGCAGCTAGCATTTATTGAACCATTTCTATTTCCAGGTGCTGTGCTTAGCTATGTTCTTGACATGCATTTTCTCCTTCATCCTCGCACCAATCTTTTCAGGTCAACGTTTTTGTATCCATTCACAGAAGAGGCTAAGAAAATCACCTCTTTTATGGAAATATTTATAAATGGGACAATAGATTTAATTCAGAAATGTACTAAATTATTTATTCCTAAAGAGTCTATAAATCTCATGTGTCTAATTAACCAATTTTGAAAAACATCTTAGTGAATTAAACATAACAGGAGTCTCACATAATTGATCTCCTTCCAGAGTGAGGCCCCTTAAGGAGAAGCTTTGCCCCTTACTAGCTCGGGGACTCACAAGCCCTCTGAGCTTCAGTTTCCCCCTCTGTGAAATGGGTATAAGCAATACTTCACTTCGTGTGATTGTTACGAATGTTAAATTAAAGAACACAGGTAATACATCCAGTGTGATCACTGGCATATCCTACTCCCTAAATATGCTGCAGTTTCAGAACAGATGCTGCGAAAGCGACCGCAACGTTAGGTAGGAGTGGAGTTAGAACTCGTTATTCGACAGCTGCCCATCGTATTTAAAAGTTTCCTGTCAAATGAAATACATCCCAGTAGTAACCATTCATCCATATGCGTATTTATTCATGCAATCCTTCACTGACCAGTTATCTGCTACATTCAGGATTCTGTGGTGTTCGCTGCTGGAAACAAGGCTCTCGTTTGTTGAGTAGTTCACCTCATGTACGGTTGCTTAGGACAACCACTCTGGTAGATAAAACGATTAGCCCCAATTCTTCACTTCTCTGTGTCCATACCCCTTGTCGTATAACTCCAAAATTCTTTCCATAAAAGGTAGAGCATACCTCCAACCCCTTGGCCTTGGGCTTGGCCATCTGACTTGCTTTAGACAGAAGGGTGTTAAGAGATATAATAGTGACAAAGCAGAGACTTGAGATAGACATGTGCAGTTAAATGTTCCTTTTTGTGCCTTGGACACAGCCAAGAAAAGAGCTTCTCCGAGGTGCCCGCCGCCCTTTCGGCCTGAGATGCAGAATAAACACATGAAGAGCAGAGAGCACACAGCGGATCTGTGGCTTGAAGAGAGAGTAGAGTCACCCTAGCCATCACAGCCCGAGGCAGAGCTTCTCCAATCAAACCTGTACTCCCGTGAGCAAAATAGATGCTTATTGTTGTACGCCTCTAAGATTTCACAGCAACAGCTGACCAGCACAGCCACAATCACTATTACACAGCAGAGAACATGGCTCATGATCTGAGGAAGGTACAAATGCCCTACAGGGAATTCAAAGAATCAGATGTTCTTACTTGGGGGTTAAATATAAAACACATCTAGCTTTCTTGATGGCACTTTGGGAATCTAGGGTTTAATTCCGGGAGTAGAAAGAGGACGAGAAGCTGCAAAGCATTATGTATTTTGTTAAAATTCACACCAACCCTATGCACGAACCACTGTCCATTCCAATATTGTATCTGGCCATCGTGGTTGCCAGATATTCCTCTCCCAGCTCCAGACAGCATAGCACATTCTGCACCACTCCGAATGTAGCCTCCACTCGTTCTTGAATGCAGCTTCTGCCCTTGGCCCTGAGCCTCTGTACCCTACTCGCACTCACTCAAGTTTCCAGTGTTAACCTGCCATGTCTGCTGGATTTGCTCCTATCTCAGAGGGAAATCGACTTGCCAGCTGAACCATGACAGGCCCCTGAAAATGATGTCATGGAACTCCAGGCTGTGGTAAAATTGCCAACCAGGAAATGGAGAAGCACAGACAGGGGAAATGCTGCCAAAGACAGAGCTGGCCCAACTAGCTCTACAGTTCCATAAATGCCACTATCCCATTAGACTAGAGCTCCATGAGGGTGGAAAGTGTGTGTGTGTGTGTGTGTATATATATATATTTTTTTGCACGATAGAAAGTCAAGGGGTGGACTATACTGAAAACCTATGAGATTTCTGCTCACTATTCCTTTTCTAGAAATTGCCTCTCATTCATTCCTTCATAGAATAACAGGAGCTGTTGTGTTAGTATAGCGCAGCCCCACCCTTTATTCACTCCTGGTGGGTCCTTGACCCAAAATACACTTGTAATCTTTCCTCTGGGGTTTGAATTTTAGAATTGAGAGACTAGAGATTGGGACTCGCCGTCGGCTGGTTATATGGTGTCACGGATCTAGAGCGGAGGTCTTTAGCTTTAGCAGTACTAAGATTGGGGGTCAGATAATTCTGTTTTGAGATGTGGGGGACTGTCCTGGGCATCGTGAGGCCTTTGCCAGCAACCATCCCTCATCCCTGACCTCTACCCACAAGATGCCAGTAGCAAACAGCCTCCTGGGTCGTGACAATCAAAAATATCTCCATACACAGCCAAGTGTCCCCGAGTGGGAAAATCCCCCTCCCACTGAGAAGCATTGCTATAGAGAGAGGACCTGTGAATTCCTGCCGTTTAGGCCCCAGGACTGTCTGGTTCCTGCTTTTTTTTCTCTAAATCTATCTGCTCAACTCTTTCCTAAATTCACTGACATGAACACTTCTGCATCCTTAAAATAAATTCTTTTACAAAATTTAGTTGCCTATAATTGATTTCCATTATAAGCAACCTAAAGAACCATGGTATCATGGGATAGGCGCCCAATAAAAACTTTTAGTGAACAAATTCGTCGCACAGAGAGCGACTGGAAGGAAAGCCGACGAGAAAGCAGAGAGCATGAGGGTCTCTAGTCCCCGAAGCAGGGGGCCACCCACGGTCTTACCATCGCCCACAAACTGAAGCAGGGCCAAGTCAATCTGCCTCTTCCAAGGGGAGCCTTTCTGGAGGGCAATTCCGTAACCAGTGGTGGCAAAGATGTATCCACTCCCGATGGTCACCAGCTTGCAGCCTTCGTCCCGCCCAGCCTTGTAATTCAAGACCGCCGCGTCGTAGATGAACGCGTCCAGCTTCCTGCAATGACAAGAAACCAGGGAGTCACGGGGATGGCTGGGGGTACCTTCTCGGGGCACGGCCCCCCAAGGCCTAACCCAGAATCACACACTTTCACACTGGAGATGATGACTCACAGCCACTCCATCCTCTTGTCATAAAAGGATCTATTTTTAATGAGGAGATAAAAGCCAGAACTTTTTTGCTTCAACTTACAAGAGGCAGTTAAATAAAGACCTGAAGAATCCTTATGCCCAAGTGAGTAAACAGTAGAGTTTGCTGGTTTGTTAAGTGCTGCCCTTAGCACTCCCCACGGTGGAGGATGTCGGCCTACTTAAAAGGTTTACATCAGAACAAAGCAGACCGGTGAGGGGCCAGAGGGTTTGGCGGGCCGGTGGGAGGGGAGAGGGACTACACATAAATGATGTTTCTTCCCTCTGAAAGATACATGCTTACTGTGTATTTATCTTAAGAAAATTATAACATAATAATTTTAAGAAACCCAAATAATGTAGAACATACTAAGAATACACTAAAATTTAAAATCACTCATAATTCTACAAGTCAGAGGCAAACCCCTGTTAGCGTATCAGTGAACAACCTTCCGAAGTTTTTATGCGTGTGCAGGTGCACACGCACAGTCACACACGTACACACACATACATCTTTTAAAATAAGGATTGGTAACTTTTCTAGAAAGACGATAAACAGTTTAGGCTTTGTGGGCCATATGGTCTCTGTGGCAACTCACCAACTTTGCCACTGTAACATATTATGGGCTGAACGGTGTCCCTCACCCCAAAATTCATATGTTGAAGCCCTAGCGACCCCCTCCAGGGCCTCGGAATGTGACCTGATTTGAAAGTGGGGTCATTGGAGATACAATGAGCTACGATGAGGTCACCCTGGAGTAGGTGGGCCCTGAATCTAATACAACTGGTGTCTTCATAAAAAAAAGGGAAATGTGGCCACAGACGCACACACGGGAGAACGCCATGTGAGAGTGGGAGGGATGGTGCCACAAGTCAAGGGACTACCGGAAGCCAGGGGACAGGCTGTGACGGGTCCCCTCCCGAGGGCCTTCGGAGAACATGCGAATGGCCCTCCGACGCCTCGATCTTGGACTTCCAGTCTCCAGGACTATGAGGCAAAGCGTTCCTGTTGGTTAAGCCTCTCAGTTTGTGGTACTTCGTCCCAGCAGCTCTAGGAAGCCAGTACACAGATGATACGTAAATGAATGAACTCAGCTCTGTTCCAGGAAAAGGTGATGTGCACAAATGGACCGGCCCGTGGGCCGCCGCTGGCCAGCCCTGTTCTAACCCCCGAACTATGGTCACCGTGCAGACCACTTCGTGCTTTGTTTTCTTTTCTCATTTCACACCACACAGTGTGAACATGTTTCGTGTCAACAAACACGGCACTTTTTTTTCTTTTTTCTTTTGATACATTTATTTTTATTGAGATAGAACTCCTACGAAATAAAGTACTGAATTATTACATACGTACACATCCTTGAAATCGCCACGCACATAGAGGCATAGAACATTATCATCATCGCCCTGTGCGCCCCTCCCAGTTGGCAGCCCCCCCCTCAAAAGGCGAGCACCACAGACTCCCTCAATGGCATGGCGGTGCATCATTCATTATGTAGATTTTTATTAGGGGGCATGCACTGCAATAACCAACTTTTAAAGTTAGTTAACAAGGCTGAAATGATCGCCCTTGAACTCCATGGGTGATACTTCAACTCGAAAGTAGGTAAGAAAATGAAATCGGAGATTACCCAAGTTGACATTTTCTCAACTTGACTGCCTTTTTTTTTTTTTTTAACAAGAAAACATAAAACAGTGAAGTGAAGACAAATAAAAGTGGGCAGGGAAAGGACGTAAAATGCTGCATCCGTTCAGAGACAGCTGCTAAAGGACTCCCAATGGGATCGAAGCTGTTTGAAAGGTTTACGACCGTGTTCTTCATCTTGATTTTTTGTTTCTGCAATGGTTAGAGGTGGGGCGAGCCTGCAAGGCTTGTCTCACCAACAGAAATACTCTGAAGCTTTTATCCCAAGGCTGTGGGACTGGAGACATGGTTTTCTACTCTGAGAGTATTAAAGGGGGATGAGGTCATCCAAGCAGAAGAGGAAGAAGACTGGGCATTGTCAATGGCGACGGCTAACGAGAGCTGACAAACCAAGAGGTAACAGTCTTCCTGGACAGCCAGTAATACTGACGACTGTGGAAATATAGGATGGGGAAAAAAAAAAAAAAGTAATATGGGATGGGGAGTTTTAAAAGGTTTGCGTAGGGCATGTGACAGGAGCAGGTGAAAGGAATCTGAGTTCTCGTCTAAATGGCGTGACCTTGGGGAAGTCACTCCCGTCTTTGAATTACCGGTCCCTCCTCTGTGAGATGAGGTAATCATGGTGGCCCTGCTGAGATGCTGGTCCAGCTGAGGCTTTCTTTGAGTCTGCAAGACAACAGTCACCTTCTGTCACACGCCATAGGGAAACCGAGACTCTGGAGAGCGCGTGTATCCTGAGGGCTTCAGGCCACGGATGGCATTTGTCCTCGTGACGAAGCGGGGGTGCTTGCAGTGCCAATACTTTACATATCAGAGTTGCCATGGAGATGCCAAGAACCTGGGTTTTATTACGACTGTCTAAGCCTCACCCAACTCTCTTAATTCCTCAAAAAATAAACATAAATACACACATATGTGTGCACAGGGGTGTTTAAACGTTAAGGCCATCTGTTGGTACTCGTGGGGTGAAATTTTCCCCATCCTGTTAACCCACTACGTGCTGATGCATTTCTTGGATGGAAATTTAAAACTGTACCTGGCAACCACATAAGAGGTGTCCAACAGTGGTGTTTAAATCATTAAGGACAGATTTCTGCAAATCATTACCATATTTCATAACAAATCTTTTTTCAACTGAAAGAAAAATATTCCTGTTGTTAAAAAGAAAAAATTAAAAATCTCTGACGTCCTCGAATGCGGGCTCCGTGGTCAAAGACTCTGAGCAAGGAACGGACAATATCTGCCCTTCAAGGGCTCCTGGTAATAAAGTGATATCATATAAGTTTAATGTGTACGCAGTGTTTGGCACATAACAAATGCACAAGACACACAGATGCATTCAATCGAATTCAGATTTTACAGCAAAGGGGCTTACAGCTTTTATGCATTCTTTGTGACAAATCCAGTCCTGAAACTTTATATGCCTTATCTCGTGTCATTTACTTCTTCTAACTGTGCACAGATTTCCATACTACTGCCATCCCAATTGTGAGATGAGAAACCGAGTCACTGAGAGGTAAAGTGACTCTCTGCCACCACCCAGAGCAGCATTTGCACTTATGGGGTCTGATGCCAAAGGCCACAGAATAACCATTACAAGCACATGGTCTAGAAGACCTCTGGAATAAGTGGAGGCAGCTCTATTCCTTATGAAATTCAGACCGGGGGGTTGCAGCTGTCAATCAAGCCTAATGCTATAAAAAAAGAAGCAAGAATGAGACCAGAATAGTCCAAATTTAAAAAGCTTTGGTGGGTTGTTCAGCTTCAAGTGTCTCTTTCCCAACAGATGCATCGCCATGTAAGGTCTGGAGTCACCCCCACAGAAACGTCTCTGGCCCCAGCACATCCTACCTCATTTCTTTGTGAGATATTTAGGCACAGATGGACACAGCTTCTTGTTGAAGGTAAAGGGGAAGAAAGAGAAAAAAGGCTACCTGAAACTGAAGCCCAATTTAGACCAAAAGTATTTGTGGGGACTGGAGTTGCGATCGCTGGGGACAGAGTGATATATTAGGCTGCTGCGTGGTAACTGGCAGCTCTGCGTTTGGAACATCACAGAGATAAAAGGCTAGCTCTGGGGGAGAGAGGTCCTCAGAGCTCAGAGCAGTCAGCTGGGCACTTGAGGGCTCACAGGTACAGAACCCAGATATGCTACCCCGCTCGGCAACTTCTGCTTTTCGAGAGGAAATCTCTTTGTCCCTACCTTCTCAGCTCCCGCTGAGGCCACATGGCTGTCACTGGCTAAGTACTTCTCCCACTGGGCAGAAGAGGCTCAAAGGACAGGATCTGAGAATTGTGATGGGGACAGAGCCCCTACCCAGCCCACCTCACCCCCCTACGGAGGGGCAATCTCTTCTCCAAACAGTTGTGACAAATAGAACGACGCTTTGGCTCCCCAACATGAGGGCTGACGCGGAACGGGGGCCTGGAATGGATGCCACACTGTTCTGTGCTGGCTGCGTGACATGCCCGCCCCCTGCCAGGCATCATCGAGGCTGTGTGGGTGCTCGCGCTCTCTCCTTGTCATGGGCAGTCCTCAAAGAAAGCAAATGATTTAAAACGACGGCAATTCAGAATGGAAGAGGGGAGATAAGACCTCCTTTCTGCGAATTTGTGAGGAAGCGAAGGAAGGAAGGCTGTCGCATGTGCACCATGCTACTTTAACTTAGCCGCTTCCTGCCAGATTTTTCAACAGCTTTGAAGAGGTGCTACAGCTTGCTTGAGTGCGTAGATCTGATCGGCTTAGTTCAGTCAGTCTCTCTTGTACCTGCACAATGGCCTGACGTAGCCCCAAGATTGTCCGTTGGCGAATCTGATTTCTCGGACACAAAGAAAGACCTTGGCACCTTTGACAGTGGGGACTTGTATTGTCAAAGGGCTTGACATTCCCTAACCCAAAATTTCCAGTTTTAGCTCATCATCTCCTTGTGCATGTTTTCAGATGCTCTCTGGGGGTCTCAGCACATTTAAAGGCTAATTATATAGTTAAAGTTAATTATTCATTCATTAACATTCAAGAAGCCTGGTACAAGACACTGACTTGTTCTGATGAATTAATGAAATCTGTGTGTGTGTTTTGGAGGTCTAGTCTAAAGTGTTACTGAAAATTAAACAACTCTTTGATGATAACTGAGTTTTTTTTTTTTTCAGGTCACATCAAAGCCTTCCTGGGAAGAGAAACACATCACTCAGCAATTTAGGCCACTCAGCACATCCGGACAACT